AGGGAAGAGGATGGTGCGGAAGGAGGGCATGAGAGTGAGATAACCTGGCAAGGCATTGCTGGTCTCAACCTGTTTATTGACCTGTGGGTTGGAATTAGGCCACACCTGGTAGGACGGGATGAATGAGGGTAAAAACAGCATTCTGAAAGGGGTTCGTGAGTGCCAAGTACATAGATGTAGAAATTGGCAGCTGTGTCAGGGTTGGGAAGACAGCTGGGCTCATTGCTGGCCCAGAGACTCAGTAGGGTGAGATTTTTTTTTTTCACCTTCCATTGTTGTAGGCTGTCAAACCTAGAATAGATGGGGATATGATTTCCAGCGTAGTTTGGAGAGGGGGAATGTCATAATTCAGAGAAGAGAGGAAATGTAGGGGGAATCACAAGTTAGAAGACAGATTTTAGTAAACTGGGAGCCTAAGTATGATGGTAAAAATCACAATTTACTATTCCTCCTTCACGAGGAGGAGGTAGATATTTGTTTGTGTGTTATGAAGCACAGTGCACGAATCATGTGAAGAAGTATTCAAAGAACAGTCTAAGTGATGACTTCTATACAAATTGAAAAAAGATTGCTGTAACAAACTCATTTCTCTCCATAGTCAAATTAATGGGGTTGCCATGCCATCTTCCTGATCATGGTAGTTTATAGCATTGTACGATGTTTAGATTTGTTTGCATAGCTTTGTATTGGAAGTTTTCCAAATGTCCTTAGAAGAAATGGAAAGGAAACTGCCTTTTCTAGTCAAAATTGTTTAGTTTCAAGGAAAGAAATGTATTCTTTTTTTTTTTTTTTTTTTGAGACAGAGTCTCACTGTGTTGCCCAGGCTAGAGTGAGTGCCATGGCGTCAGCCTAGCTCACAGCAACCTCAAACTCCTGGCTCAAGCAATCATCCTGCCTCAACCTCCCAAGTAGCTGGACTACAGGCATTGCCACCATGCCGGCTAATTTTTTTATATATATTAGTGGCCAATTAATTTCTTTCTATTATAGTAGAAGCAGGCGTCTCGCTCTTGTCAGGCTGGTTTCGAACTCCAACCTCGGAGCAATCGCCGCCTCGGCCTCCCAGAGAGCTAGGATTACAGGCATCAGCCACCGCGCCTGGCCAAGAAATGTATTCTTTTATTTTCTACTTAGGTGGTTGATTAAAGGGATTAGGGGTAACTCATATATGTGAAGTATAGCTTGGCTTTATGGGAAGAGGAGCCAAAAAACAGGGTAATGGGTTGGGACTGAGATAGCTACTTTCTCTATTTCTTTTTCTCTCTCTGAGGTCAGCTATTCTTTTTGCCAGGCCTTTTCTCTGAGCTTCTGCTTTTCTCTGAAGACCAAGTTTCTCTATTCATTGTACACATGGGAAAATGACCCCCCCTTAAGTCAGACTGTACAAAGACTTACAAGTATTCACTCTCCCTGAATACAATTTCTGTGTTTCTTAGTTCAAACTACTTTTCAAATGGCATAGTAACTGGGCAGTTAAGGGCATTTCCATGAGGTTGGCTATTTTGAGGGCAAGTATTAAAGTGTGGTTCCCACCAATGTAGTTGCTTTGAGTTCAGGGCAGAGAATATTGTATGGATGGGAAGGTATCTCAAAAATGACTAGCTACATCTTCCTTCAAAAGTCAGTAATGATCAAGCATTATTATGTAGGAGATATGCCTCCTAGAAGCCGTGAATGTATATATCTTTTCAAATGTTTCTCTTTTGTAGAAAAGCTTTCTTTTTTGCCCCCTACAAGAGGAAATGTTGTTCAGGTGGGAGGGGGGAGGGGGGATAGGTATATACAAACATAATGAGTGAGATGTGCAATGTCTGGGGGATGGTCATGCTTGAAGCTCTGACTCAAGGGGGGAGGGGGGCATGGGCACTATACGTAACCTTAACATTTGTACCCCCATAATATGCTGAGATTTAAAAAAATGTGATACCATGGAATACAATTCTTTTCAGCTATTTAAAATAAGACATTTATCTTTTTAAATATTTTTGATGTTCATAAACTCCCTTTAATTATTTAGATATATAACATCCTTTCTTTCTTAATGGCAGCGTCCTTCTTTCCTCTCCATGCCCCCCAAATAGATTTCCTCTTAACCCTATCCAGATACTTCAACAATCACACAGTTCACCTCTATAGAACAAAAATTTTACAATTAATTATATCTTATAAACACACTAATTCAGTATCAAAGTAATAAGAATATTTGAAATATTAGAAACACTGACTCTACTATTGTGATCCTTGTAAATACAGGCCATCCAGGGATAAAAGGAAGCAATCGTTTAGCAGAGATCCATGTAGCATGCTAAGAAAAACTTAAAGACCTGAGAGACATCAGTCATGGGAGTGGATCAGATCACTTTGGAGTTCATATAGAACTTGTAAGAAACCCACTGAGGCACAAGGCATTTGTAAAGAATGTGCACATATACTGCCCTGCATGATTAAACTGCTTACTTATTTATTCAACATTTATTAAAACCTACAAAATGCAAAACAGTGCTTGGGATTCTGCATGAGCTACACTCTGAATGGAATTAATCTGGTTTCCTGCCAATATAATCCAGATTCAGGGAAACCATAGGACCCCATCTTAGGTTACTAATATTATCTTTAAAAATCAATTTTAAAAAATGCAGGTTTTAGTAGAACTTACAAGTCAAAACGAAGATTCTCTCTTTCTTCAAAAAAGTAGTCCAGAATAAATTTCCTTACAAAATCAGGATTTAAAGTATTATCAATTACTTCGGTTCTTCCAAACTGTTAAGAGAAATAAAGGGGAGGGAAAGAGGTGAAAATCAAGCCTTATATTGTGACTTATTGCAAATACAGTACTTAACATGGCTCCTTTAAAACATAAGCAATAAATATCCAAATATTTCTATCAAATAAAGCCTTACAAAGAGGTTTTTAGAGATCAAATCATGCCTCTTATTAACTCAAGGAAATCAGAAAATGAGCTCTGAGTTCATTCAAAAATCAGTTTCTCCTCAAAATTTATATTACAAATTCCAATATTTCCTCTCCTCTTCTCCCTACTTGAAAGCCAAATCCCCTTCTAATCAAAAGAAGTCATTCATACCTTAAATTTAAATTTACTATAAATTTTTTCCTAACCTTATATATAAGTAGGCCAGGCAATACATACTCTTAAAATTGCACAGGTCAAAATTCTCATAACCCTCTTCCCTAATGTTTATAGAAAACAGTCCTCCGCACAATACAGTTTATTATCCATGTTTAGGGAGGACTTTCTTATAATCTACGGCACACTATGTCACAAAAATCAGTTGGTTTTGTTTTACCTTGTTTTAATTCTTATGGTATCTAGACAGCTAAAATGGGATCTACCATTTTCACATGTTTTTAAGCTAAGTGCTGCACTTTAGCTTAGAAAAAATAGTTTATTCATCTTAGGGCAAGTGGAAACCAAGAAAGAAAATTCCACTTCTAGTCCTCCCTCCTTTCACTGTGAAAGGAGGCCACTAGGCACTGCTCCTAAAGATAGAGCACAAATATAAACTTTATATCTCTTTTTTGTCCTTGGCTTACATTCCTCCTTTCCAATTCTCATGGAATCCTAATGAGGGGATTTTAACCTTAGTTCTCAAAAACCCTCTGCAATCAAGCAAGCTGTTTTATCAGGGAACTAACATTTATTAAAGTGCAAGGAAATACTATCTTTTTAATAGAAAAAGAGAACTGTGCTAATCCCTTAAAATGTGAGGCTTATGAACTTTCTTAGATTTTCATAATAAAACTATGGTATAAAATATTGATGACCAAGCATTTACTAGGGCTAGGAATCACACACACACACACACACACACAGAGAGAGAGAGAGAGAGAGAGAGAGAGAGAGAGAGAGAGAACTAATTTTCAGAGGCTTCTGCCATCCGACAATGTTTTATATCATGGACCAATATCATACAATAAAACCATAACCCAGGTAAGTAATTAAAGATATCAAATATATTGAGCATTTACTTAGAACAACAATAATAATTACAGCAAACATTTATTGAGTACTTACTTTGTTCCAAGCATGTCTCACATATTATTTTAAATATTTACCATAACACTGCAGGGTATGGCTAGTATACTTATTTTAGAAATAAGAAAATCGAGGCAGAGAGTTCCAACCTAAGTCACTTTGGTTACAAAGTATACATCCCTTCTAGGACTCTCCTCTATTTAAGCATAAAACATGTTAGGTCCTGAAGAAGAGCCAATAACAAACTTATATATTTTAACTTTCCAATTTTTAAGGAATGGGAATAAGAGAATGCGCCCAAATAACCAGAAGCTGGCAGTGCCCATGCACTCAAAAGTGCAGTGCAGAGGTCAAGAAGTTTAAGTGTAAACCAGAGGGGGCCTGGGCCTTCCCAGCCTTCCCACTGCTAGGAGGCAAAATGGTCCCTAGACCACAGTGGAGAGCACCCAAGTAGCAAATGCACAACACTCTCAAACAGAAGCTCAGCCAGTACCCATATTCCCAAATATTTAGATTTTAACCCAAACCCACATTCAGAGGGAAATTTACAAAATAAAATGAGCTTCCCCAGGGGAAGCCCCATTGATGTGCAGGCTAGCAACTCCCCATGGCCTATGAGCCACTGAAACACCCACAAGCCTGTTTCTTATGGAGCACTGGCTTGTCAGCAGGTGGGGGGTGGGGGGGGCTGAGTAGACTCTGCTATCTCTAGTGAAGATTAATTTGTAGCCATTAAATTTCTGGTTTTAGCTAGTCATCTATAAATCATGACTATATCTGTTATAATATGTCTTGTAACTCATAGCCCTGAAATTGCTTTTGGTACTATCACCAGTGACCTTCATATTGCTAACTCCAGTGGTCGCCTTTTGGCCATCATCTCACTGGAACTCTCAGCAGCATCTGACACAGCTGTCCACTCTTTCCTTTCTGAAGCACTCCTTCCTAACCTTTTAACACCACATTCCCCTGTGTTTCACCTCTTCTCAGACTCTCAGGCATTCAGTCTCTCATTGTCAGAGCACAGTTCTAAGCAGCCTTCATCCTCTCTATAGTCACTCTTTTATTAGATTATTTCATCTGTTCCTGCTATGGTTTGAATGTGTCGCCTCCAAAATTCAAGTGTTGCCAGTGATACTATTAAGTAGTATTAAAAGTGATACTACTACTTGTTTAACTACTACTTGTTTAACAAGTGATTAGGGCATGAAGAGTCCTCCCTCGTGAATGGGATTACGGACCTTACAAAAGAGGTTTCATGTAGCATTTGGCCACTGTTTGCCTCCCTGTCTTCTGCCATGTAAGAGTGCAGCAAGAAGGCCTCCATCATATACGAGCACCTTGATCTTGGACACCCCAGCCCCCAGAACTGTGAGAAGATAAATTTCTCTTCTTTATAAATTACCCAGTCTCAGGTATTCTATTATAGCAGCACAAAATGGGCTCATACTGTTCCTTTGGTTTTTAAATCCCATCTACATGATCGTAACTTCCAAATGTATGTCATTAGCCCAGACTCACCTCTGAGCACAGACTTGTACATACAACTGCCTTCTTAACTTACGTATGTGGTTGTCTTACAGGCCTCTCAAAATTATCATCCAAACACAAGCTATTCATTTTATACCACAATCATCAACAATCACGGTGCCCTCCAAGTCTACCTCTTCTCAATGAATGAATGATACCACCATCCACGTGATTCCTCAGACCATAATGGAAGTCATCGATCTCAACTCCTTCTTTTTAACCCACCATCTTCTATTCATCAGTGTCTCATAAATTATCAATTTTAACTCCAAAAAATGTCTCACAGCTGTCTGCTTCTCTCCATACCTTCCATAATCAGCATAATTCAAGCTTTTTCTCTCTCTCATGGACTATCCCAATGGCCTCCTAACTTACACCTCTGCTTCTACTCTTGTTCTCCTTCCAATTCATCCTCTACATAACATCCAGAGTAATCTTTGGAAGAATGTAAACTTGGTCACATCATTTCACCAGCGTGAATTTTTTCAATGGCTTCCCATAGTACATAGAATAAAATCTCTTTTCTTTGATCTACAGGACCCGGCTCCTGTCTTCCTCTCTAACCTCATTGTAGGCAATATCCCCTCCTCTTTGCTCTAGCCTCCTCACCTTATTTTAGAACCCTTTACACAACAAATGCTTGCCCACCTTCTGGCTTCACACCTGCTATTTTCTCTTTCTAGAATGTTGTTAACCCCACTCTTGCATGGCTATTTCTCATTCTTTAAGCCTCTGCTTAAATGTCAGCGTTCCAGCTCTAAAAATTCAATCTAAACTTGGTCCTCCACTGCCACAATTATTCTCCCTCATAGCACCAGTTTCTCCCCCTTCATAAAACTTATACTTTGGAATTATATCTTTATGTTTGTTCATCTTATGTTTCCCCTAATAGACCTTAAGATCACTTAAGGTAGACGAAATACATGTGTTTGATTTACACCTGTATAAAATTGAACAAATGGTTAAATAAAGGATGTCTGCAATATATTGTTCAGAAAAAAATCAAGAGTAATGTATACCATACTGCAAATTTTAATTAAAATATGTGTTTATATATGTATACATATGTACAGATAAAATATAAGAATATATAATTATCATCTAATTATTTTTTAATTTGTTATACATTTCTGAGTTTTCCTAATTTCTTGCAATGAATACTATTTACTTTTAAAATCAGAAACAAAAAATTTTCAGGCCGTATTCCTGTTTCGAATTCATTCTGTTATGAAAAGTGAAAACCGCAATAAAAGAAATCCACAGATACATTATGACTATTTCTGCTCATGGGAAATATGTTAATTCTTTCCCAGAGGCTGGAATATATTAGCTATCAACCAAGTGATTAATCTTTTTGACTTGAAATAAAATTTTTCTTGGCTAATGTCATAAACTACTAAATAAAAATTTTCTAATTCTTGGGAAAATGTACAATAGCATATTATTCTATGTGTATCAGAGGGGTTTAAAATTTTGAGGAAAGACAATTAATATTGGTTGATGGCATATACCCAGAAATAGCTACATTTGAAAGAATTTGTAATTTGTGCCCTAAAATGTCTCATTCTGAATATCAATAATATTAGATTATCAAAAGTACCAATAAGCCTGATTATAATAATCTTTGGCATAATAAACATAAACAAATATGGGACAGTCAAGCACGTTTACATAATGATACAGTATTAAATTTTCATCTTTGCCTAATTAGGAAACTTGTTCTTTTATTTACCAAGTATGAAAGTTCTCAGTTATATGAAAAAAGTATGTAAACCCAAATTGATTAGAACATAAAACACTGTTTCTCATAAAACTCTATGCAAAAAATGTTTTTAAATTCACAATCAAGTCTTTGGAAGTTTCCCTGTGTTTTATGCTTGAGCTAATTGGATAAATAGCTACTTTTCCAATTTAGGAACAAATCTTGCAGAAAATGATAGAACAGAAATACTCCTGATTTCTAATTCAACTAATTGTTAAACTGCTTCAGAGGAGCAATACTGGAAAGAACATTCAGTCATTTCATCTATTTATGGCACCAAGCAGATGAACCTGTTTTGATGAAAATGTTCAGAAAGTTTTAATATATGATGAAGGCCCAGCACAACCACCCAGTCTCACATTCATTTGTCAACTGAACTGAAAGTGATGAAGCGAAAAGGTCATCTGAAATAGTGCATATCTTTAATTCAATTATTGTCTTATAATTAGATCTTAGTAGCCATGATACACAGAG